CATAATTTTATCTTCTTTACCGAAGAATTCCCTATATACCTCAGTCATCTGAATTTTATAACTTTTCTTGTCCTAGAAACTCTAGTGCAATGAGTGTAAATATACTAGTAAGAGAATATAATTCATCAAAGAAATAATTCATCTCTAGTTTGATTTTTTTACTAAGATAAAACATTATTTATACTAATTTTGTTATGTTTTTATATTGCAAGTGAAGCCTTGTGATTTTCCAGAAATAAAACATGGATATCTATATGATGAACGTTATTATAAACCATACTTTCCAGTGCCTATAGGAAAATATTATTACTATTACTGTAATCAAAATTTTTTGACTCCTTCAAACTATCGCGGGGGTTATATTTATTGCAGAGCAGAAGGATGGTCACCAGCAGTACCATGCCTCAGTAAGTAAACCTCTTTATAATTGTATGTGTAGAGATATTTCAAAGAGTGGAGAGAGAAAAACACATAGGGGAATAGAACTAAGTTTTACATGAAAAAAATAAGGCCAAAGATGAATTCTATGGCCAAAATGACCAGTATAGATCTTTCCTTTCAGAAGGAGATTTTCATGAAAATCACATGAGAGATAAAGATAGAGACTTCACAGGAATATCTATATCTTTTATACATATTTTAGTCATAAAACTGAAAGTAAATAATGTTGACTATTAATTTTTCTTTTTAAAAAAATGGTAATAACGTTAGTTTTTCTTAAGTTCTATATTACTTTTGGATGCTTATTCATTTCAATTTAAATATTGCAAACAAAGTTGGTAATTTGGTATTTTTGCCAAATGTATGGGTTCTTAAAAGTTTTATTTATGATCCTTAGGACAATGTACTTCTACTCACTTGGAAAATGGAAAGTTTCCATATTGGGGAAGAACATATTTACAGGGTGAATCTGTAAAAGTGGAATGCTATTCTGGCTATAGTCTTCCAGATCAGCAGAGCTTAATGACATGTACAGAGAATGGCTGGTCCCCTCCTCCCAGATGCATCCGTGTTGGTAAGTAAACTGATCTGAGATCCCAATACGTTTATGATTTGCAAAGACACATCTACATTAATTGTGACAAAATGTTTATCTCGACTTCTTCTTTTGCCAATGGGCCTATTTGATTTTATTGTTTCCAAGTGTGTACGAATGGATATAAAAGATTCTTGATACATATGTAGCAAAATAAATGAGCCTACTGATAGACATTAGTCAAGAAAACAGTCAAAGAATCAGGAAACCAATGAGGCACAAACCATGAAAAGAAACCAACAGAAATTCTGGAACTGAAAAATACAATGAATGTAATGAAAAATACAATCAGAGCATCAACAACAGATTTTACCAAACAGGAGAAAGCATATGTCAAGTAGAAGACTGGTTATTTGAAAGGTTCCAGTCAGAGGAGAACAAAAGAAAAAGAACCACAGAGTGACGAGAGCTTACATGAATTATGGGAGTTTCTGAAGGGAAACGTTTTAGGCCTTGAGAAGGTCCCAGAGTGAGAAGACTTGGAGAAAGGGGCAGTAAGTTTATATAAAGAAATAATCGCTGAGGCCTTACCAAATCTGAGAGAAGATATGGACTATCAAAATCAAGAAGCTCACAAATCCCTAAACAGACTTAGCAAAAGCATCATTTACAAAACTTACTGGCAAAAATGGCACAACCAAAGACAGAATTTTGAAATCAGCAAGAGAAAAAAAAAAAAAAACCCACATACAAGGGAACCCACATAATGATATCAGGAGATTCATCAACAGAAACCCTGACACCAGAAGAGAGTAGGATGATACATTGAAAGCGATGAAATTAAAAAACAAATTAAAAAAACCCTGCCAACCAAGAGTACTTTACCCAGAAAAGCTGTCTTACAGAAAGGAAGGAGACATAAAGATGTTACCAGACAATTCAAGGCTGAGGAAATTCCTCAACACTAGACCTGCCTTGCAAGAAATGCTAAAAGGAATTCTTCAAGTTGAAATGAAAGGACATTATTTACTAACATAAAAACTTTTAAAGATAAATCAGATACTGGTAAAGGTAAACATATAGTCAAACTTAAAATACTTAAATACTCTAGTATGGTGGTGTAGAAGCCACGTATTTCCAATAGAATGGTCAAAGTACAGAAGTTTTAAAAATAATTATAGCTACAATAATTTGCTAATGGATACTCCATATAAAAATATGTAAATTGTGACAAAATATGTGGAGAGGAGTAAGAGGGTAGAGTTCGTGCGTGCAAACAAAGTGACTTTGCCATCAGCTTAAACTTATCTATGATATGTATGTTAGTTTCATGTAAACCACAAAGCAAAACCCATAGTAGATTCAGAAAAGATAACGAGGAAGAAATCAAGGTGTAGCACTATGGAAAGTCATTAATTCACAAAGGAAGGCAGCAAGAGAAAGGGAAAGGAGCATTGGAACTACAAAGAAGCTAGAAAACAATTAATTGGATGGCATTAGTAAGTCCTTACCTATCAATGATTATTGTGAATGTAAGTGAATTAAATTATCCAATCAAAAGACATAGAGGGATGTATGGATAAAAAATAAAAGACTCAACTATGCACCACCTACAAGCCTCACTTCAGCTCTGAGGACACAGATGTGCTGAAAGTAAAGGGACGGGGTAAGACACTCCGTCCAAACGGAAACCAGAAGAGCCCGGGGGGAGGTAAACTTATATCAGACAAATAGACTTTAAGTCAAATAGTAACAAGACAGAGAGAAGCCATTATACAATGATGGAGGGGCCAAATCCTCAAAAAAATTGTAAACATAGATGCATCCATCTTTGGAGCACGTAAAAATATTAAGCAAATACTGACATACCTGAGGGCAGAAATAGACAGCCATACAATAATAGTAGGAGAATTCAATACCTCACTTTCAACAATGAATAGCTCATCCACAGAGAAATTCAAGAGGAAAATGTTGAACTTGAAATATACCTTTGACCAAATGGACCTAAGAGACACATACAGAACTTTCCACGCAACAGCAGATGAGTATATATTTTCTGAAGCGCATACAGTACATTCTCCAGGATAGATAAAACGTTAGATCACAAAACAAGTCTTAAAACTTTTAAGAAGCTTAAACTAATACTAAATATCTTTTCTGCCTATGGTTTTATGAAATTAAATATCAACAACAGAAGGAAAACGAAAATTCACAAATATGTGGAAATGAAACTACTCACTCCTGATAAAAGAATGGGCCAAAGAAGACATCAAAAAGGGAAATCAGAATACATCTTAAATGAAACAAGAAACCACAACATACTAGAGAGCTGCAAAAGTAGTTCTATGAGAGGTGTTTTTAGTGATAGATGCCAGAAAGAGAAGAGAATGGCCTCCAATAAATAATCTAACTTTAAGCCTCAAAAACTAGAAAATGAACAGTTAAGCCTAAAGTTAGGAAAATAAAAGAATAACCAAAATTAGAGCAGAAATATATGGAATAGAGACCAGAAAAAATATTAAAAAGCAACAAAACTAAGACTTAGGTTTTTTTTGAAAAAGATAAGGTAAATTGATGAATCTAAGACTGATTAAGAAAAAAGAGAGGCAATCAAATAAATAAAATAACAAATGAAAGAAAAGACGTTACAACAGATGCCACAGAATTAGAAACGATCCTAAGAGACAATTCTAAATAATTATACACCAGCAAATTGGATAACCTAGAAGAAATGGATAAGTTCATAAAAACATACAACTTATCAAGACTGGGTCATAAAGAAATAGAAAATCTGAACAGACCAATGACAAGGAAGGTAAAATTAGAACAGTAATCAAAAACATTCCTACAAAGAAAAGCCCAGGACTAGTAGTTTTCACTGAATTCCACCAAACATTTAAAGGAGAATTAATGCCAATCCTTCTCAAACCATTCTAAGTAATTGAAGAGCTGGGAGCACTTCCAAAGTCATTTTACAAGATCAGCCTTACCTTGATAGCAGAGCCAAACAAGAATACTACTAAAAAGAAAATTTTATGCCAATATCACTGATAAAGATACATGCAAAAATGATCAACAAAATATAAAAAATTCAACAGCACATTAAGAGAATCATATACCGTGATGAAGTTGGATTTATCCATGGGATTCAAGGATGGTTCAACAAATGCAAAAACTTGGCACACCACTTTAACAATATGAAGGGTAAAATACATATTATAGTCTCAATAGATGCAGAAAAGGCATTTGAGAAAATTAAACACCCTTTATGATTAAAAAAAAAAATCCCTACTCTCAAGAAATTACGTATTGAAAGAACGTAACTCAACATAATATATATCATGTATGAGAAGACCACAACTAACATCTTACTCAATGGTGAAAAGCTGAAAGCTTTTTCTCAAGGATAAAGGAAGAGAGAAGGATGTCCACTCTCATCATTTTTCTTCGGCATAGTACTGGAGGTCGCAACCAAATGAATTAGGCAACAAAAGGATATAAAAGTCACTCCAAATAGGAAAGAAAGAAGTAAAATGGTGTCTGTTTGCAGCTGACGTGATCTTATGCTTAGACAACCCTAAAGACTGCACAAAAAACTGTTAGAATTAATAAAAGAATTAATTAAAGCTGCAGGAGACAAAAATCAACGTATGAACATAACTCGCATCTAACACTAAACTATCAGAAAGAGAAATTAAGAAAACAATCATTTACAATCACATCAAAAATAAGAAAATATCTAGGAATAAATGTAATCAAGGAGGTGAAAGACTTGTAACCTGAAATCTATAAGACATAGATGAAATAAATTGAAGAAGACACGAATAAAAGGAATGATATCCCATGTTCATGAACTGAAAGAATTAATATTGTTAAAATGTCCATACTACCCAAAGTCGCCTACAGAGATAATGCAAACTTTATCAAAATCCCACTGGCATTTTCACAGAAAGATAAAATATAGTCCTAAAATTCTTGTGGAACCACAAATGACCAAAGCAATCTTCAGAGAGAAGAACAAAGCGTCCTGAAGAACACCACACGTCCTGATTTCATACTACATTACAAAGCAATAATAGTGAAAACTATAGGGTCCTGGCATTAAAATAGACACAGAGATCAAGAGTAGAATCAGGAGGCGAGAAATAAGCCCATGCAGATATACACAACCAATATTCAAGAGGGGTGCAAAGAATACGCAATGGGAACACAGTGTCTTCAGTAAAAGGTGTTGGAAAACCTGGATATCCACAAGCAAAGGAATGAAATGAGACCCCTATATTAAATCAGTGACAGAAATTAACTCTAAATCTATTAAAGAGTTAAATATAAGATGTGAAACTGTAAAATTCCTAGAAAAAAACATAGACAAGTATCTTCGTGACGTTGATCTGGTCAATGATTCTTTTCATATGACACCAAAAGCACAGGAAACAAAAGTTGAAATAAATAAATAGGACTACATCAAACTAAAATGCTTCTGTTCAGCAAATCAGAATGAAAAGGCAACCTATGGAATGGGAGAAAATATTTGCAAAACATATATCTAATAGGGGGTTAATAAAAAATATGATAATGAACTTAGAGAACTCAATGCCTAAATAAAGAATCCAATTAAAAAATGGGCAAAGGATCTGATTGACCTTTTCTGAAAAGTCATGCAAACAGAAAACCAGTACATGAAAAGGTACCCCAAATCACTAATCCTAAGGTACGTGCAAATCAAAACTACAAGGGGATATCACCTCATATCCGCTAGAATGGCTTTTATCAAAAAGACCAGGGATTGCAAGTGTTGGCGAAGATGTGGAGAAAAGAGAATACTCGTACGTTTCTGGTGGGAAGGTAACTTGTTACAACCGTATGGAAAAGAGTATGGAAGTTCCTCAGAAACTTAATAGAACTATCATATAATCCATTTTTGGGGTGTGTATCCGAAGGAAATGAAGTCAGCATCTGGAAAAGCTATCTTCACTCTCGTTTTCACTACAGCATTATTCACAATAGCCAGGCCATGGAAGCAACCTAAGTGTCTATGGATGGATGAATGGATGAGGAAGATGTGGTGTATATATATATATATATATACACACACACACCAGTGTATATATATATACCAGTGTATAACATTCCATCATGTATATATGTCTATATATATATGATGGAAAATATTTATATATTTTCTCCAAACAGGAGAAAGAAGGAAATCTTGCTATTTATAACAACAGGGATAAACCTAGGGTACATTTTGTCTAGCCAGAGAGAGACAAATACTTCCTGATAAAACTTATATGTGGAATCAGAAAAGAAAAAAGAACGAAAAGTCAAATTCATAGAAACAGAGAGTAGACTGGGGGTTTACCAGAGGCTAGGGAGTGGGGGAAATTGGGAGATGCTGATCCAAGGGTGTTAGCCTTCAGTTATAAGATGGCTAATTCTGGAGATCTAACGCACAGAATGGTGACCATAGTTATTAATAACGTATTGTATACTTGAAATTCGATGAGTGTAGATCTTAAGCATTTCAACTACAAAAAAAAAAAATAAATAAAAGATTACTATATGAGGTGATAGATGTGTTAATTAACCTGACTTACAGACCTGACATATCATTTCACAATGTATATGTGTACCAAATTCTCTCATTGTACACATTATATATATATATATATATGATTTTGTTAATTATACTTTCATAAACCTAGTGGGGAAAACTGTAATAGACATGCAAAAGAAAAGGAGAAAAAAATTAAAGCAAATAACAACAAAACATAATCAAATAACAAAGGAAGACATCAAGAAGGGAAGGGACTGAAAAAACTATTGCAGAGCAGAAAACAATTAGCAAAGTATCAAGTCAGTCCTCATCTATCAACAGTTACTTAAATGTAAATGAATTAAGCCCAACTATTAAGAGAATAGAGTACCCGAATGAGTAAAAAACAAGAGCAAATGATACGCTATCCACGTGCATTTAACAAATGAAGGTGAGTTCTGCGATGAGACCTAGTTACTGACAGGAGTCTACTTTTACTGTTTCAAGTTAAATTATACATAATTTGAGGAATCATCATTTTAGTCTTAGGTCAATGAATGTGTTGATCTCTGTCATCTTCATTGAACTCCTTATATCCATATAGTTTATGCACCCAATTATGATGACCAACATTTCAAAATCTCAGAGCCAAAGAGTATGGTAGCTAAGGTGGAAGATTCTCTGAGATCATCACCTGATCTGAGATACCCCAATTGATTAACTGAGTTCTGGGGTTGCTTAAGAAATCCAAACTAGGTAAATTTAACGCAAGCCCCAGGAAAGCACTCATTGCTAGGAGAGCTCTGGCATGCTGCAAGATTCCAGATCCATCAGACTGACAGATTTCTAGTGATTTCTTAGAAGGGATTCTGGATTCTGAGTATTTTAAATCTTGCTTTGTTCCAAAGACTTTTTAATGGAGTATCTTGATTTAATATTTTTGGAAACTCATAGCTCATTTTCTCTGACAGAAGAAGGTGAGTGATTAGAACTTTTCCAGGTTTCCTTTACCAATGACATGAGCTTGTCTTTTCCTTATGCTTCCTCTGTTTTAGAAACATGTTCAAAATCAGATATAGAAATTGAGAATGGATTTATTTCTGAACCTGACTTTACATATCCCTTCTATAAACGGGCACAATATAAGTGTAACCCAGGATATGTAACAGCAGATGGTAAAACATCGGGATCAATTATATGTCTGCAGAGTGGATGGTCACATCAACCCACATGCGTTAGTAAGTAATTGATGATGTTAGTTTTCATTATCCTGATGGTCATTGTACAAAACTTCACTTTAATTCTTCTTTGGGGACGGGACTAAGGTGGTTCCATTCGAAAAGATAAAAAAAAGTTTGAGAAAAGTGTATAATTTTTTGCCTTCCAAGATTAATTACTAGTGGGGTAGAATATCAGTCCATATTTCAGTTCAAGTTTTTCCGCTTTAAGACCTTCTGGGGTTTTGAAACTAGTTGGGGAGCCTTATGTGTATTCTTTGTAAACTCGTTTGTTATTTACTGAGAGCTTTGTGCCCGTTGCATCTGCTTTTAGGTGATCAGACTTTCATGTCACAGTCTTTGCTCCTAGGCATGAAAGGTCTTTTTAAAGTGAAGATGCGGGCTCTTAAGGCATAATTTTGGATTATGTATAATTTACATATATTTGATACTACAGGATAGGTCCACTTCTGAAAACTCCTTTCCCTTAGGAAATCTTCCTCAACATCTAATAGGTGGAGACTGAGAAACACTTCTAGATAGTACCAAACTTTGCTGTGTTGAAAGAGTTCCCTGTCCTACTACCTGGATGTTTATGACGATTTTCTAAGAACAATTTGCTCAGTTTATCTTATTAACCTAAAGCCACACACTGATACTTTTTGAAATGGTATGTAACATACACACTTTAAGTGAAGAGGGTATTTAAAATATCCATTTTTACTGTTTTCATTTCGTTTTTGTCAATCTCTATGCTTACTATGGGCACTAGCCAAAGAAAAAAGATGTTAACAGTTGCCTCCATAACAAATTCATTTTATTCTAAATTGTGATCGGTTTTCTCTTATAACTCTCATTATGGAAGAGGAAATGTTTCTATTAAATAAATGTTTTACCAGAATAGTTTTGCTTTTTTTAAAAAAAAGCTTTAAACTGCTGGGTGCATACGTTATATAATTTGAGATAAATTATTTAAACTTTATCAGCATCACTCTAGTATCATGGTAGTGAAAATTGAGACTAATTTTTAACGTTTTACTTTCCTATAACTAATTATAAACAATAGAATTCTCTCTAAATTTAATGTTGATAAATATAAAAGGATATACAGCATTTAGGAGAATATTTGGGAAAGCAACGTCAGCATGTGAGCTTTAAAAATTAGTATGTTTTAAGGCACAGTTTCATAGAATATTTAAAAAGTTACTTGCACTGCTCAAAATTAATCTTTTCATTCAACGAATCCATTTTTCTCTGACATATATGTTATAACTGCTAACTCACAAAATGCTATTCTGATATCCTAACAATGTGCTGGAGTATTTCACTAATAACGTGGGATAAATGCATATGCATAATTGAATTGAGGAGAATATTCTTAAAGTAAACTTTCAGAGATTTTAAGTGGTGAGAAAAATGCTATGTAGAAATATTTTGCTTTGTGTAATGATTACGTGACAATTTTTTATCACTGATATCCTTAGATTTTGTCATATGATCCTTAATTTATCAGCATATACTAATTGCTTTTCTTTTTTCCCTTGGGATGGAAATTACTCATTTAGACTGTCCATATAATAATATTAGAAATCAATTCTCTTATGCATTAGAATATTGTGAGATGCCATTATTTGAGAATGCCAGAGCCAAAAGTAATGGAACATGGTTTAAGCTCAATGACACCTTGGACTATGTGTGCCATGATGGATATGAAAGCAGAGGTGGACGCGCCACAGGCTCCATAGTTTGTGGTAAGGATGGTTGGTCTGATACAGCCACGTGTTATGGTAAGTACTGTTTTTTCAGGTCTTCTTTTCTCCTGGGTTAACAAAATTAACAAAATTTGTTCCAAATGAAACATTTTCAACAAATTTGAAACATCTATAGTCATGTCATTTTATGGAACAATGATTAAAATCAAGTTGTCTCCTTCTGAGTTAATGTAAACTGGGAAGAGAGGGTGTTTTGAAGCCCAAAGATCATAATCTATCTTTTACATTTTGCGTTAAAGTAATGTTTCCTATGGGCCATATCACCATAGATTTGTGAATAAAGTACAGTTGTTTTAGTTATTCTAAACGGAAACTTTCATGTTCTTTAAAACTGGGCACTCATTAGCAAAATTCTAATTTCTTACCACTCACTCAGCTATTTTGCTCCTGAGTTTCTGCTTTACCCCTCCCACCCTGAGTGTTCATTTCTGCAGGCCCTGAGAGGAGCTCTTTATTTTCCGACCTTGAACAAGTTCTGTGGACTAGGACATGACTCTCTTTAATGTTTGCCGACCAGCTGTCCGTTTTCCAGGGTTAGAAGTAGGGCTTGAATCTGTGGAAAACTGAGTGGATGCAGAGTGTTCCAAGCCAAAGGAACAGTGTGTGCAAAGCTTTGGAAAAAGTACAACATGTGGGAAAAGTCAGGGGGGTGGATTGTACTCAAGAGAATCTCATGAGCTGAGTCTGGACAGGAGGCAAAGGAAGGCTTATCCAGGTTGTTTCAGTCATGTTTGCAACTGGATTAATTTTATGCTTGACTAAGAGCCACAGAGGAGTTTTAAGGAAAGGAATGATATAATTTTTCTTGGATTTTTGAAAGTTTTCTTTTCCTTTATGCTGTGCTTGTGGTAAATAAAGAAGATTCAGGGGTCAATGTAGGGTGAGAAAGAGTGGGGATTGTGATAGGTTGATGACTGAGAGACGCAGAGCAGAGGAGAGATTTGGGATACATTTTGGTGGTAGAAAGCAAAGGCAAAGTTATGAAATGTTTAATGTGTTAAACATTTGAACATTAAACTGAAAACGTTAAAGTTTAATGTTTTAAACTTTAAACATTAAAGTCATGAAATGTATAAGAAAGTGTAAGAGGTCAACTCACGTGTTTATTGATTTGATTTTTCTAAGCAAGCAGGTAAATGGCAATGCCTTTTGGTGACGTGATTCTGGCAGGAGAGAGAGCGTTTTGGAAGGACCATCACAACTTTTGACTTGGACACATTATGGTTGGGCTGCCCATGGACAATGAAAATCAAATATGCAAACCACAGAGTTAGTTGTGTAGGTCTAGCCAAGAGATGTACATGTGGGATTACCACCATATAAATGATGATATCAAATTGGAAAAGAATATATAATGAAATTCTATATTCTATAATTCTGGTTGTTCTATATTTCCATATCATATGTCTGACTGCCATTTTAGTTTGGTGCTTTTCTGTTATGGTTTTCTCAAATTTCTCTTTCATTAAGATTTGTGACTGTGCTCTGAATTTTTTGCTTTTGGTTACAATGAGTTTTATATAAAAGATCTCATAGATAAGATCGTCCATTTTCTGATAGTCTCTTATTTCCGTTAGCCTAAACAGGTTCCATCCATTTCCTCTTCCCTTTCTACAGTTTTTCTTTTTTGTCACAAATTACTCTTTTTTGTTGTGATTTTGTGACTACATTGAAGAGTTTATAGTTATTTTTGATTCTTTATTTCCCCTTAACTTTTATGTTATAATTAAGAGATTGCTAACCTATTCTAATAGAGAGCTGCAATTTTCTAAATTTTGTCTGTCTATTTATCCCTTTTTTCAAAGCTTTGTAAATCTTTGCAAATTGCTTCAGGTATGAGGGCATCCTTGATCATTTCTTCTAAGGCAGGCCTAGTGGAGATGCATCCCTTAGCTTTTGCTTATCTGGGAAAATTTTTATTTCTCTGTCAGATATGAAGGATAATTTCACTGGATAGAGTATTCTTGCCCGATAGTTTTTGTCTTTCCATATTTTCAGTGGATCATTCCATTCTCTCCCAGCTTGTAAGTTCTCTGCTGAGAAATCTGCTGAAAGCCTGATGGAGGTTCCTTCGTAGTTTATTTTCTTCTCTCTACTGCCCTCAATATTTTTTTCTTTGTCATTTCCATATGGCAGTTTTAACATTATATACTTCTGAGAAAGTCTTTTTGCATTGACGTAATTAGAAGTTCTATTGGCTTCATATCATTACAAGTCCAGTTTCCCACCCAGGTTTGGGAAGTTCTCAGTTCTTATTTCTTTGAACAAACTCTCTGCTCCTTTCTCCCTCTCTTTGCCCTCTGGGATACCTATAAACCTTATGTTACTTTCCTAATTGAGTTAGATATTTCTCTAAGAATTTTGTCATTTTTTAAAGTCTGAATTCTCTCTCCTCCTCCACCTAGATTACTAACTTCAGGGTGACTAATTCTCTCCTCCATAAACTTTGCTCTAATTTTTTAGTGCTTTCTGCATTATCTTTTTCCCATTGGTTGTGTTCTTCATATCCAGAATTTCTGTTTGATTTTTTTAGGGCTTCTATCTCTTTAATAAAGTATTCCTTCTCTTCATTAATTTTATTCCTGACATCATTAAACTGTCTTTCTGAGTTTCTTTTAACTCATTGAGTTTCTTTATGACAGCTATTTTGGATTCTTTATCATTTACCTTGTAATCTTTTGTGAGTTCGGATTTGGTTTCTGGAGATTTGTCATTTTCCTTCTGTTCTGCAGTGTTACTGTAGCTTTTCATGGTGTTTGATGAATGGATCCTCTGCTGGAATATTGTGGTAGTAGTCACCTTTTCTTATTTGGGTATGGTGTTGGTTACTTTGGTTCTGGTCACCTGGGTGTCATATTTCTCCACTGCGTCTCTGTGGGCTCAGATGCTGCTGTCCTGTGCACCACCTGTACTGCCATTTCTGGGTTGCCTTGGTGTGCTTGTTGCACTGCTGCCAGGGGTGCTTGGTTCAGGGGCATCACTGTTGCCGGTGGGGGCCTGGGGACCCAGGGACTTGTATACAGCCTGTGCTGCTGGTGGAGGTGGTATCTAGGTTGCTGCCACTGGGGTCTGGGTCACTGGTTTTGCTGTGGTTCCTGTTGCTTCTGGCCAGAGAGTCCACATGCTGCTGCTGGGGGGGCATGGGCTGTATTTTCTGTTCCCACCCCACCTGCTCATAGTTTTGCTGGTCGGACTTCTCTCCATTCACAACGGCCAGCCATAGCTGATCGGTGGGTCACTTTCACATGGGCTGGGCCACCTCTCAGTGGGTTGTGTTCAGCAGGAGGATCATGCTTGCATGGGCAGGGCTGCTGCTTGGGCAAGCCACCTTCGCATGGCTACTCGAGTGGTACTGCCATAGCACCGTTGTTGCTCCTGTGAGCCAGGTTACCCCTTCACAAGTGTTCCCCAGTGGGATGGGTTGGCCCCTTTCCACTCACAGTCTTACTGGCAGCTGTGTGAAGATCCACAATCTGGGTCACTGCTGCCAGCGAGGGGGAAGGAGCAGCTCCTCTAGTTCCACTGTTTACTGGGGCTCCCATCCGCCCACCTTCAGATGTATACCTGCATGGATCTCTCAGGCATCCTCTTGTGCTGTGAAGGGAATCTTCTATCGGTTAATGGATGTCCATTTAGTTGTAATTTAGAGGGGAGAGAAAGAGAACAGCTCACTCCACCATGATGTTGACGTCACTCTCAGTATATTCTAATTTTCCAGTGGAATGACAATAAATTTCAATTTACATTTCAGAATTCGCCAGAAAATGTTGAGTAAATAAATAAATGAATAAATAATTTTCAGAGCATTAACTCTAGCACATTGTTCACTGATTTGTTTTCTGCTTCTACAGTTTATTCCGTTCCCTTAGTTGTTAATACTGCTGTGCATCATGACCAATATGATGATTTTGGCCTTTGTAATGAAACATTCTAGACAATTTATTTAAAAGCACCATAGTTTGTTTTACTATCCCTCATTGGGCAGAAACTTCTACCATACTCTTTAAAATTATTCAATATCAAATTATTTATACTTTCTTAGTCTAGTCTATACTACAATGAGATGCAAAGAAAAACATTCCTCTTCTTAAGAGCTCTTTCTAACAAAACTAATTCTTTGAATCATTAATTATAAACACATTTATATTAATCATAGCAAATACTGTACACCCTAGAAATTCATGGATGGTATTTTCTTCTTACAACTAAATTTCTGTGGTTAGTGAATCCTTGCTGGAATGACTAATGCATAAATTAAGTCTTAAAGGAAGAATGAGAATTTTTTAAATGAAGTTGAGGAGGAGAAAAGCACACCAATCAGAGGAAGTTCATGAGAGAAAGGTGCAAAGGCAGTGAGGCTTCGTGCAGCATCCAGCTCCCCTGTTTCCATTGTTCGAGGGGCCCTTGTGTAGGATGCAGGTAGGGGATAAGTCAGTGATGGACGAAGATCGGCTGGTACAAGATTCTGAGGTGCTCCCTATGGCATGCTGAAGAATTTGCCTTGTATCCAACCGAATTGAGAATCAAGGAAGATTTTATGTGGATTAATCAAGTGACAGGAAAAAAGTTTATTAACTTACAAACAGGAAAACAGATATGAAAGGTGAGAGATTAGCAACTTGGAAATTCATTGCTCTGGCTTTAATCCCAGGGAAAAATGTTTGAGAGATGATGACCAGTCTTTTCTTTTTGACAGAAAACATGGATGGATGGTGAAAGCACAAATGTAGAAAGGCATTTGCTTTTCAGAGGTGCAATAACAGAGTTAAAGTAGTCACTTTGACAAAGTGTTTTGTCTATAATTACTCTATCATCAACAACTAAAAAATATGTAATTTTAACAGGTCACTCAGTGAAAATGCTTATCACAATCAGCCTATATCTATATTTAGTTATGTATAGATAGTTGACTAGTGTTACTGGCTACTATTTATTTCAAGAGGACTATTTATCCTCAAGCCAAATAAAATTAGCAGCATAATTTTAATCAGAATTTTAATTTCCTTCAAAAATGAGTGCTAAGAAGAACAGATAAATTATTCATCAAGCATTCAAGTCAAAACAGATCATTTGTTTGGT